ATGCAAATGTGGGTACAAACCGAAGTGTGCGCACAACCAAAGAATAAATATGGGCTGCAAAAAGGATGCGTGACTGCGTTGAAGAGGCTGTATCTTATTAGGATATGTCCCAACCGCGCCCAAGTAACATGCATGATCTGCTGGATAAACTGCTCCATGACGCACTAACAGAAACCAAACTGCAATGTAGCTAAACGCTTGTTTAATGAATAGCCGAACTTAGCATCTATAAACGCGAAGAAAAGTTGCAATCACTGTGAAGTAAGGTGTACAGGTGTGTGCGCAAAGGGATAAGGGGTGAGAACGATGGTTTCAGCCCAATTTTCGGCCGGTGAACAAGAGGATAAGGCGTCTACCTTTTAAGCTGGAGAAGTCACCGGTTTGCATCCTCATAGGTGCGGAGGAACGCGCAGCGTTCGCAGCCTGCCGGCGAATGGCGGGGGTGGCCACGTGGCAAGTGCAGCGCCAGTACAGTGCACCGGCGCACTGTCGTTGCTTATATTCTCAGCTAAGACCAAACACAGGAGGTAAAGTGCTTTAACAAAGATCCTGGTACAGAAGTTCAAAATGAAAGGTGGGAAAGAAGACAAAAGCTGGGAGATGCTTGCAGTTCGTTTTGTCGCCTCAATACCCCTAACAATAACTGATATGAAGTCAGGGCTAACATTGGATGTAACCAGACATGCTTGCGTTGCAAAGCGAGTGATAGATGTTCACCCCTACCTCCACAGCAGCCTTAGCCAGATAACTAATGGGTTTTGCGACAAACTTAGTTCACCGATTGAAAAGGGGATTAGCTTGAAGCAACCCAACTTTAAACCCTAAACCCAGCTCTATCCAGTGACCCGAAACCAACGGGTCTTTGCCCAAGGAGGAAGCCGGTAATTTGCACGATTTGAACACATTCTACAATCAATGTACCGAATGTATTGCTATGAGTACTCATCACCAATAAGCGTTAGATGGAGGTGAGAAATAGTCTTCAACTACTGTGCCGCAGTATAAAAAGATATTTGTAAAAACGAGATACTAAACGATTTAGCAAACCGAATCCAACAGGTAAAGTAAATCTTAGTAGCATGTTATGCTTCAAGACAGAGATCGTGGTTAAAGGGGACGGTAAGCCGAGTGGAACGGAACAAATATTTTCACAACGCAGATAGTAAAGCCGTCCCTACGCCATGGCGACAAATGTATCCAACCAGACATGTTCATTATCCTTCGGTACCCAAGCAGAGAGAGGAAAGCAACAAACCGATGCCGTACGAAGTGATGGCCTTCATTTTTTGACCAAGTCATTACTTGAGTTCCCCACCTTTTCTTCCATGCACACCTAGGTCGCGCGAAAATCCACGACGCAGCAGTGGTTATGCTGGCCTGCACAACAAGCTTCTCAACTATCGGAGCCCGGTGCGTGAAACAAACATGTTGGGTGGTTTACTCGCCCTACCGCATCCGATACACGACTTCGGATACGCTTATCACCCTGCGACGCTCCCACCAGACTTGAGCCAAACTGCAAAGGCAGCGATGATAAAAAGTATCTTAAGTCTGTCGACCTGATGGGTCAGGTTCTGTGGCCATGAAGTTGGGTAGAACGTATCGTTGCATAGTAAACTCTGCCTTTCAGGATGAGAGTGCTGTCGCGCCTGCGCCACAAGTAGTGCATATTGGCAAAAGCGCCTCGCTTATGGGCCAAACGGTTGCTGAGTCATCTACATTCTACTGGAGCTGGTACGGCTGTCTAGATACTTGGATTGCGCTACGACTTCTAGCTGCACGTCCCCAAGGGTCGACGCCGTATGAGGGTAAAGGTTAACGCGGTCGTCTCAGGTCGCAATTGCATGACAGGCGGTGTTCCACATGGCTCCATTCTAGTTCCGAACGTTTCAAAACATCAGTATCTAGTTCCGAGAATTGCGTCAGGTTATCTGCTTGGTCTAGTTGGGTGACCACAAACTGTAAGCCGAAGTACCCTGGCTTAAAAACACTTATATTTTGCAAATGACATTCTATCTGATGCAGGATTCGCCTGTAAATTGGCAGCTGCCCATCAATCTGGATAAGTACTTTTTTCTTCCAACCGGTGTTCCAGAACCTCTTAATAACTATCACATTGGGGGTATTCTGCTGAGGAAGACGGCTGAGAAAAAGGAGCTGAGTGTATTAGCATCCACGTATCTAGGAACAAGCTAGACGCATTTCGAAGAGTACTCTCTGCGAACCAGCTACTTGTTGTCATACCAAGGTCATTCTACAAGCTGCCAACGGTGAAATTTAGGCTAATCTTTTCCCTCCACGTTCGTCCAAACCCGCACGAAACTATTACCTGCCAGCCACCCAACCACGAAGTTTGTGTGAGATTTAATGGACTAAGTGGACGTTCGCGGAGCCAAGCCTGTATCAATACTATGTGTTTTATCCTAGCCCCTTCGTCTTCAGCGTGTGGACTTGGATGCTTTAAACTACCGATGTTGCCGTGGGGTTCTGATTTACACTAGCTGCATAGTAAGCCGAAAGTTAAGCAAGGATGAATAGCAGTTCTTCCAGCTCCACGAAGGTTTTTCTACACAGGGCGACATTAGGCAACATTCAAAACCCTAGCGGGTACGATATCGGATCCCATGTCGCGTTATCCGCTAGGGTTGTTAATGAATGTAGCAACTTAATAACTGTATGGTAAGTATCCAGACTGGGAAGTGTTTCGAATACCGGTTAGACGAACACTTGCTTCACATTGCTTAACATTGCTTCACTCTGGGGAAAATTGGAGGAAGGATGCATGTAGAGCGTTCCGTATGATGTGGTTTATTCGCCGCTCCTTCGGTGTACTAACGGCCAACATTTTTGTGAAGCTTTTCTCAGCTATTGTGCGACCTCACTTCGAGTACTGTATCCAGGCTTGTCCACCTTGTCTTGTAAGAGAGAAAATGGAACTGGAGAGGGTATTGCGAGTGGGTACACGGTTACTGCAAGGATTACGGGGGCAAACGTATCCCGAACGTCTGCTTAGCTTAGGTATGTACTTAATGCGCTACCGCATAATTAGTGGAGACTTGATCCTCACATACCGTACCTTAACGGGTAAGATCGGTCCGGACTTGTCCTGGCTATTTTTCCCACCAAGCTGCGTAGTCTTCGAGGTCACCCGTTGAAGCTGCACAAACAGCATTCTGACCGGGTAAGGACTGATACAAGCTTGTCGCGTCGAGTTATTGAACATTGGAACTCGCTTCCGGCGCACGTTGTTAGGGGGTCTACGGTAGAGGGTTTCGAGCGTCAGTTAGATGCTCTTGGATTTCAGTACCAAAGCTGCCCCTTCTCCTAACCGACATGTATCTTCAACTTTCCCTTCGTTGATTTAATTTTATTCTCACCTTAGTATTATCATTATTTAGCTGACATTCCTCCTCTTGTTTGCTTAGCTTACCCTTCACTCTTTTACGTTGGTTGGCAGGGATTGCTGGGCAGGAAAATGTGGGCAGTAATTTGTTGGATAGGGTATGATGTAGTCTTTGTTTTAAGCTTTCTAACAAATCAAGCAGACCTGTCAATTCCGGATCCGACGGTACGCAGAAGAAGGAACATTCGAGGATTATCCTAACATTCCGGTCCCAAATGAACTTGAACTTGCTGCGCAACATGGTTGCCGACGTAGTTGCTGCAGCTGTAAGAACCCCTCGGGAAATACAGTTTAACAGAGTCGTACGTCATCAACAAACTCAACGTAAGGTGAAGAAGCTGACACGCCTTTCCTTTCTTCTCTTCAGACCCTTATGCAATGTATGAATTTGTCCAATGACTAGCAATGAAGCCTGCTCAGCGAGACTAATGGAAGTCATCTCTGTATGCATGAAGCCAATAATAGGCTTTCCATGGTTCGCCTAAACACCGCAGCGCCTGCGTTTGTGCTTATATAGAAACCGCGTTACAGTAGTCTGCTTGTTTATTTCATCCAAAGGATCGGCGCGGTGGTCAAAAGGCCCTGATATTTCTGGGGACTGTGCTTAAGCGAATGGCGGAAATTCGAACCGTAGATAATTTGTTGTTAATCTACTAATGAATAGCACAGACACATAAGGATGTTAGCGTCCCTGGCATGCACTGACTCAGTACATTGTGTTATAAGGTTGTACCTTAAACATGTTACATATAATAAGTTCGTTTACTAAATGATTTAATTACTCACACGATTGTAGTGGCAATAACGATCGCCCGACTATAATACTAAGGTGAGCTTTAAAATTAATCTATAAACATACATATTATTGCTAATCCTTTTTTTATGCTGGCTTAAAATTCACGATAAAACAAAGTGCAGGCAAAAACCCGGTATCCAACCTCGCCCGTATTCCAGTCTTCTTACACCAGTCTCGTTATTCCGTCATCATGGCCGGTCTCGGCCCTGCGATGAAATGTCTGAAGTGTTCAGTGTTCTTCTTCAACATTATCTGTTTTGTGAGCTTTATATTCAACCTTTATGTTGATTGTAGATATGTGCTATTGCCTTGATTATTGTTGGTGCGTATGTACAAGTTTCTTTCTCGGCTTACGGTCCTGAGCTGCAAAAGGTCTGGCAAGCAGCTCCAATCACAATTATTGTGCTTGGAGTGATCATCTTGCTGATTAGCTTCCTTGGCTGCTGCGGCGCTATCAAGGAAAACGTTTGCATGCTCTATATGGTGAGTTGCCGCATGGTTTACATCTGTGCAACCACAGTATGGCGTTATTCTGTTGATTCTGCTGATCGCCGAAGTTGTTGCAGCAGTTATGGCTGTTGTCTATAAGGACAAGGTCAGTTCTGTTTGTGAGTGAATCAGCTTTTTATAGATTGACTCGGAAATTGAAACAATTTTGCTTAATGCCATCAAAGATTATAAGAAAGAACCCATCAAGGAATCAATCGATTTGATTCAAGAGACTGTATGTCATGGAAATGTATTGTGATCTGTTTATAGTTTAAATGCTGCGGAGCGACTGGCCCTGGTGATTATGATGATATGGGTGGTAAACCGGCGTCCTGTGGCAACAGTGAAAACGTGAGTCTAGTTTCATTGTCTTGTAAAATATCCGTTCTCTCTTAAAAATTTTACTGCACGCAGACAGATTGTTATGTAGAATTCACTTCGTTCGGCTTCGGCGTATGTTGATAAGACCGTTTGCTGCCTATCTGCATAATGTGGATGACCGAAAAATGTCCACTGGAGTGACCATTTAAGCGCTCCGAGTGACCGCCATTTTGTTCTCTTGGCCGTCTTAGTGAGACGTCCTGGAAACGAATCTCGGCCACTCGGAAATCCTTTTCCAAGCCAGCCTTAATAAATGCTTTTAATGCACTCCTCGAATATAAATACCGTCCACATGTAGCAAGTGAACAGGTAAGTTGTCATAAAGCGTAGACTATAATGTGTGTCCTTCCCTCTCCTTTGTGTTTTCCCATTTCGTCTTCGGTGTTGTATCAACCAACTGTCGTACGATTTCACGCCAACCATCCAGTCGCCTCGCGCTCAATCCTCTATCGGCATCTGTGACTACTGCCTAGCTAGCCACACCATCCAACCAGTTCCGGCACTTACTAGGTGGTTTTGAAGCCGTCTGTGAAGGATCTTTACCTTTTAGCCCCCTCGGTCTAATCCGACGCACGTGCGCCCCGGACACAACTGCCCTCGGAATCCTCGAACGGGCGCATATTACACAACACTCGGCGGAAATCGATTTATAAATCCTACTACTAACGCATTACTTAAGTCGTAAGGCTGCCCGAAATTCTTTAGATCTCAGACGTTCGTTCTAAATGTCTCATTAGGATGGTAATGGTACAAAGAACAATAATAGCACAGCGGCAGTCTGCCTTCACTCATGCTGACTGAAAGTACATTTTCTCAAAATGTAAGTACCTAAAGGCCGGTACTTTTGATGATGCATAGTAATGTGATTTCCTATTTAGACAAACCGCACCACATTTTCTTTTACTTCAACCAAATGCCTTAAATATGACCACAGGTCGTCAATCTGCCTATAACGCAGTCTCACTTCTGAATTGTTGCTTCTTCATCCTTTTTCAGTATTTTTTACTCTATTGCCCACACACAAACTTCAGATGTTACCTCATTCTGTAGTTTTTTAACCGTTTATTTTATGGTTTTTATTGCACTAATTTGTGTGAGATCACCGGTTTTGTTTAGGCCTGCGAACTTTTTTAACTCCGGGGAGTTGGCGTATCCAAGTGCATTCTGCCCGTTCGCTGTCTCTGAATGACTGTAGCATACAATTCGACCTGATGCACTTACTTCCATTCCTGCTAAATCAGGGAACATCTTCATGACACTGCTTCGACTTGTCACCTAATTCGAAGCTTACTACGCATCACAAAAGCTCAGCCGAACCGTAGCTCCATACGTTATCGTCTTGGACCATACCATATGCCTGTTCGTCACGGTAGCCATCGCGGCAAGTCTTAACCCCAGATTCACTTAATTTCGTGTCCCACTGGCTCATAAATTCTCTTTTAATGCCACTTCTAAGATTACCTGATTTCAGTCCCAAAGTCGTCCGCGTAAATGCTAGTGTCCTCGCTGTATACCCACCTTATGTACGACTGATGGTCGCGTCGGTACGGTGTGCAACCGTACTGCTAACATCCTTACCTTCCTCCTCCGCTTTATGTATTCGGAAGCAGCTAATGACTTCCATTTGTAGGAAGCGCAGGATAATGTTGAGGCCTGTCTACGCACTAGTGACCGGGTCTAGTCGTTCTATGTTGTCGACATGGTTGTGGGCACTAGACCAGATGAAAACAAAGTGCAAGAGTTAATAGCTAAGCGCTGCTATGGAGCCCCGGCCTAATGACCAAGACAAAAGCCGTTAACCACTGTGTAGGGCACCGCACTCTCCCTGACGAGACCGGTCGGTCATGAAGTGCAATGTTGGAAGAGAGCAGCTCTGAAACTCTCCACTTAATATCCAACTATTTATCCTGAGTAAAAATGAAATATTCCGTCGATATACTCAACATGAATCATATCATTATTATTATTATTATTATTATTATTATTATTATTATATACACATCGGCCCAGGGTGAGAAACGCCACAGCTAATGTGCTGCAGTACAAATGGTAAGACTTCAGGCAATGTAGACCTAAGGCATAAAAATGTAATAATTCTAATATCACATTGTGTTCGTTATTGGAGGAGGGTTAAAGTGAAGGAAAACGTCAAAGGGACTCACGCAAACGTCATCAAACTTGATTCTTTGCCATGTCGGCTCGTGTATCCAACCAGATGTGTTCATCATCTTTCAGTCCCCAGCCAGATAGTCAGGAAACATCAACCGACGCCATCTTCGAACTGAGGGACTTCATTTCTCTTGACAAAGTCATTGCTTGCCCTTCTTTTTCTGTTCACACCCGCGGCACGCAAACAACGCACGTCTCGGGATGCAGTAGGCTAGCATGCGCTACAATTGGCCCAGCCATCGGAGCCTGATGCGTTATATAACGGTGCTGAGCGATTCACGAACTGACTGCACCAGCCAAGCGACTCCGAACACGCTCATTGCTCACACGGTGCGAAGGTACATGATCGACCGTAACTAGCCTCTGTGTCTGTCGACTTGATGAACCAGGTTTCACAACCGTACAGGAGGGTTGTACAGACGGTTGAATTGTACTCTGCCCTTTAAAGCGAGAATAATATCACGCCTGCGCCAGATAGCGGAGATCGGTAAAAGCCTATCGAGCTTTTGCTATCCGATTCGCGATCTCTTCCCTTCCACTAACGTTGATATAGATGCCCAGATACTTGAATTTCTCGACGACATCTAGATGATCACCGCCAAGGCTCACTGCAGGAGTGGGTCCCTGCGAGTCGTGCATTTTCTACGGTGCTAAGCATAGTCTGAAACGACTGACGACCAGAGCTAATTGAATGCAGCTTGGTACTTTCGGGGGATGTCACGGATGAGCGCAATGTCGTCAGCATACTCTAAGTCGAGAAGTCGTTCACTGGGGAGCAGCTCCACACCTAACTCGTGCCTGGCAAAGCCGTCGATGGCGAAGTTAACTAGAAACGGTGACAGCGGTCAACGTTCTCACACCGCTGGAGATATTGTAGGTCTGCGAAAGCGTACTGCTAACTCTACTCGAGCTACACGCGTTTAGGGCTCAGATAATATTTACGTATTTCTCGGGCACATCTTTCCTGAGTAGTCAGTCCCAAAGGGCACCTCGATCAACTGAATCAAAGACCCCTTTAGTGTCTGGGAACACGACTACCATGGGTCGCCAATAAACATAGTGGTGCTCCAACAACTAAAGTAATGTAAACATGTCAATACAGCCTCGATTTCGACGAAATGTGGCTTGCTGTTTGCGTATCTAGCTTTCAGGGGGGCCAGTCAGTCTATGGAGAACAACAGGCAATGAAGATCAAACTGATTCCTTTATGACTCTCGCATTCGCAACGGGAGCCTTCCTTGAAAGTTGGAACTGTCAAATAACGCCTCCAGTCTGTCGGGACAGTCCCCTGCTCCCATAGATGTAAATCATCCAAAAGAGCAAGTCCCCAAATTTGAAGAGAGGCAGATGAAGTTCATCTGCTCCGGCGGCCTTGTTTACTTTTGGCCGTCTGATCTCACGTCCGATTTCCGCGCGTGAAGGCGCATCCAAGGGGATGGCCCAGGAAGTGTGGCGATCATTGGTTGCTGGAGAAATTTGCAACTCTGACTGATTACACTGCTTTTCAGAGTGTTCGGCCTAACGGTTCAAGCACGTTGACAAGCTGTGAATCGGCTGTCCACTCTCATCGCATATGGTCTCGCTGACACTAGCTTTCCTACTTCCCGTTTCTCGTATCAGACGGAGTAATTTCTGTTCGTTACCGAGGGCAGCGGCTGATAGCATCTCCGAGGCACGATGAGACCACCACGCTTCTTGGTTCTCTTCAGGCTAGCATGTAGTTTTGCCCTGAGAGCGCGGGTCTCGTATTTGTTCCAACCCGGAACACGTCGGTGAGCATCCAGAAGTTCCAGAGACTGCATAGAGACCCCATGTCTAGGTTGGCAATTTGATTTGCCACATGAAGACGTGTCTGCTGCTAATAACGTCTGGTTGATATGTGATCACTGATCTTCAACTATGTTCAATGGGCAGTTACTTAGGTCAGATGCCAGCGTACTTTGATACGTGCATTCGGAACATCTGATTTCGCCAGCTGGAAAATATGTATGCGTTCACAGCGCTGTTGCGGACGCTAACTGAAACCCACCCGGAGTTCGGTGCGAACAAGTGCGTGTTAAGAGTCCACGCTTTTGCTCCACTTAGGATGAAACTTAAAAAGCTAAAGCTCATTTTGACATACAAAGCACGTGTATCGCGACTTCTCTAACGGCAGAGGCATCAGCAGTTCGCCGGTGCGCAGTACCAACGCTTCGATGCTGCGCCGCCACCACCGGTTGCACGTGGGTTAAGCATGCTTTGTGGGTTGCTCTGTCCTCACGCAAACTCGAACCCGCGCCGCAAGATTACGAGAAACACAGGCTACTAAGTAGCATTTTCGTATGTGATTAGCCGTTGCCAGAAATGTTTTATTCGTTTATTTGGTAACTAGCTTTCCCTTAATGCAACTTATCCATAAAAATGCTAGTCAACTACAATCAACTGTCATGTTTCACACACAAGGGCTTCCGGAAATTTCCGCATTCTCAGTAAACAGATTCCCTCTTATTGCATTTCAACTTCATCCTCCGAACAATCGTAAGGATTTTGTCCCCTAACTGTCCTGTTCTAGTGATCCACTGGTAGTTTAATGTTATGCGGATGATATAGAGCTCTCGGGTATATGGCTACAACCCCTGTGAAAACACTGCTAAGTGGCGTTACCTGGTTCACTTGTTGTTTCGACCTAAATGCCAGTGCTAGCTCAAACTCCTGCACTGTTAGTCTTCATAATTATTGGAGAATTGCCGGAGTTAACTCCGGCAATTTGTGCGCATGATTTGCTAGCATCGTTAGCAATGATACAACCTATGACACCTGAA